TTGAATAATATTATGTGGTTATTCTTGAAGAATCATGAATATATATATTTCAACATGAATATTTTAGTGGTCTTGAAGAATTGCAATTTTAATTAAATTGCTTCTAAAGAAGCAAAACATTATTCATCGGCAAATTGGTCCTCTCAGACTTATCCTTCCTTTTGAAGGACATTAGAGGTTCGTTCTTAAAAGCAAAGACTCCGAAGGAAAGGAGGAAAGCTCTCCGTTCCTATATCAATATTTCAAAAGAATATTATTTCGAAACTCCAGAAGAGTCAATAATGCATTATGTGGGAGAATAAAATATTTCTGCCAAATTAAAGAGAAACATATTAAATTTCTAAAATGTGTTTTATGATTGATACTATACAAGTCTTGGAACAAATATTGTATAGAGCAAGAAGTTCAATTACGAAATGTATTATTATTTGGCATGACCAACTGATCATTACTAGATTAATAATGATGGGAAATTGAGAATTTAATTAGATATTCAATGAAAACCAGAAGATTGTGTAATCCAATTATTTTTATATAATACTTGTTCTCAGTATTATAAATTGGTGTCAATCATCACTAGCTAAAGTTGTAATTAAATTTTTATAATCTTGAAATTTAATTAGGGTGGTACATGGGACCCATCACCTAGATGTTGACCATCTATATATTATTTGCATATAACGGATATGATATATATAACTACTAAATGATTGTATAGTGTTCACAAATTGAAATTTGCAAGATTGTTTACTCAAATTTTATATTATGAACATTATTTTCAAACTATACAATGATTACATTGTTGTTGTTAATGCTAGTAAGCCTAAATCTCAACCTTCTAAAAAGTTAGTTGGATAGCAGTAAATGGCATAACACTATTATTTATTAAATGCCTTCAAATAATATTTAAATAATTATTGGTGAGAACAAAGCGAACTTTCTCTGAGGAATTCTAATAGCATCATATCAACACTAAAGTTTTCCTCGATATATTTGACTTGTGGTTAGAGAATTTATTTATTTATTTATTTTTATTTTTTTGTTATCTATTTACTTTGATAGTGCTGCATATGTATAATTAATACAACAAAATACACTAAGATGGAAAAATAAAAAATGCTGAGAATAAAACGTTGTTTGAACCCTTATACAATATCTTAAACTCTAATAGATGATATTTTATAACATGGTTCCCTGATTGTCAATTTGATTGAACAATATTCTCAACATTGGGGGGAGGGGAATTAAGAAGCTGAAAGGTTATATTCATAATGCATCATTATATTATTTATATCATTACAAAAGATAATTCGAATTAGGAGTTCGAAAGGTAATTTATCTAAATACATTTACTAATCAAAAAGATCAATAATATCTCACAAACTAACTTTAAGTGGTCCAACTCAAATTGACATCCAATGAGGATAATTCATTAAAATTATATATATGCGTGTGTGTGTGTGTGTGTGTCACGCCTGAAGCGTAAATACTTTCTATTTTAAGATTAAAAAAATGGAGCAAATAAAGAAGATGGTACCACGTTGGAAGTGTAGTAATGGAGAACATATAGATATAACTAATAATAAAATTTCAGAAAAGGTTCAAGTATTTAAATTATTTAATAATGGAGATATCTCAATAAGTTGTGTATTTATGAGAAAAGAAATGGAATCAAAAGAAAAAATGTATCAACACTTTTGTACATGATTTACCGCTTCATATTATGAATAGCGAGAATATCGAAACAATACATATCAATCGAAAAAATGAATGGTCAAATAAAAGGACACAATCCTAGTAAAAATTGAATTTCTTAGAGAAATTTGAAGTTTCTGGACCTACATTCTAAAAATCTAAATGTGTACATTTATGTGAAACGGAAATAAGAAAAATGAAGTCATAATATGTAATACACAATTCTTAACATAGTTAGTTTTGTAATGACTGTGGTAGATACAATCACAAGTCCATATGCTATTGTCCTGACAATACATAAAATTTGAAATGTGGTTACAACTAACTCATTTGGCATGACTATTAATATTATACTTGAAAATTTTAATATGCTTAAGTGACATTATTATGAGGGGGAGAAAATAAGCATTGTATCCTTTTTTTATTGATCAAGTTTCTGTCCCATTGGATTTTCCTGGAAAAAAATTTTAATAAGACAACTTTTACAATACACTCTTTTTCATTCATTAGGATTGTTCCCGTATATGTTTTCCTATAAAGATTTTAAAAAGTTATATTTTTTATATGTTGAATGTTCAGAACATACAAGATATTTACCCCCAAAATAATACTCTTGTATATATAAAACTTCTAAAGAGGACAACAATAATCGTTTTTCGAATCATCTTATTACTACAATCTTTAGAAAATTAGTAAATATATTCTATGAAGACGATATTGTTGGAAGACTATACAAGACTACATGAGACATTTCACCCGAATATTACAATTTTGAAGACACTGACGTACAAGATATGGATAACCACATATAAGAATTTTCATTTAATAGAATTAGGGGATGCAATTGTACCCTTTTCTTCGATCAAGCTTTGCCCTATTAGATTTTCTTGATGGCATTTTAACGAGAAATTATTTTATTACTCCAATTTTGTTATAACTATTTGTACATTTTCCTTTGTTTGGTATTTTTATCACACTAAGTTTTTAATGCGATAGTTGTTGATAGTCATCAAAGTGGAGTAATGTAAAACTATGAGAAAATTATAAATGGCTATTTGATCTATCAGAATACTTATATAAGTTCTCTCTACTATGAAAAAATATGTTATGTTCTAATTGTAGCTCTCATTTTAAACCTTATAAATACGGGATCTTGATTCTTAATGAAATACCTGCTTAAGTTTTAACTCTCTTCTATTTCTTCTCTTATATTTTTCTATTGTTCCTTTAATTTAATGACACGTCTAATTTTTTCTTTGAACATTGGCATGAATGTTGAAATAGAATTGTTGTATTAAAAATAACTGCAATAGGTGAGACCTCCACATTAGAACATCACTTTTAAAAAGAACAATCAGAAGATCAATCGAACAAAGACGCGTCAGAATGTTACTTCTTAAGCATGAAGTCCACGCATGACATAAATAATCATAGATGGACTTGGGGAACTATTGTTACATCTCCCTACCGAAGCTTAAGAAAAAGCCCACATAGCAGTTAATTAGAAGCTCAGCAAAGGCCCACACTCCACGACATCAAAGGTAAAGATGATGAAAAGGCACGCTTCTCCTCGATTGGAGCACCACATGTAAGCAAAAGCTCTATGACTGAAGCAAGTGACACTTATTGTAAAACAACCAGAGATGTGATCAACCGCTTCAACCGAAGTACTATGTAAGTGGCTAAAGCCCACATTACCAAAACAGAAGTATCTTAAAGATCTAAGAGAAGTGACACGACGTCCTAACAAAGTGTCATATGGAAGGTCGAAGCCTATGTGATCGAAGTGGAAGTCTTCAAACCATAAAATGAGCATCCTTTCCAAGAGATCGTCTGCATAAAGATCTTATGCAAATGATTGATGTGACCTTTTTTGCCACACAAAAATGTCAAGTCTTGTCAGCCTACTACGTAGGTATTCAAACCTAGGCAATATGGTGGCCATCTTTTCAGAAGGCGTTAAATACCGCACAGTCTAGGACGTTTGATGTGATGACCTATGATAGGACACTTCAACTGTTGGGATGAAGCCATGTGCTTCTTCATCCAACAGCCACTAGTTTATCCATGCCACTATAAAAGCTAACATCTCACACCAACTCAAGGGTAATGCAATTTTGACTCTAAAATATTGCAAGATTGCTTTCTCATTTTCCATATTCATATTCCCAGAGTTCCTACACTTTTGTAGCTTGCGCATTTAGCTCATCCCACACTCATTATATATATTTTCTTTTCCATTGATTGACTTGATCGTCGAAGTATTCGAGGTCGGCCCCCATCTCCCGTGAAGGTCATGGATGACTATTCTTATTCGAGAGTCTATTGAGTTCTCGATGAGATCAAGGCAATGTTGTGGAAACCGTTCAGATCAATCAGTGCAATTGGAAAAATCGAGAATCGTATCAAAATCTGGTCTAGTCACACTCATAAAATCGATTGAGAAAAAGCTGTGTAAATTCAATAAGCAATAAATTTTAATCAAAAATTGTGAACCAATTACGATTTTTGCTGGTTCGTCAGTTTTTTTTTAAAATAAAAATAAGAGACGATGAACAGTCCCTACCTTTTTCCGATTGATCAAAACTCACAACAGCTCCAATAAATCAAAATTCTAATTACAATGAAAGAAAACAAGTTCACTTGTGAGAGAGAGAGGGAGAAGGGAGAGATCTGAGTAGAAACGCACCGGCAAGAATTTTAACAGCCGACAAATTTTTTATATGAAAGCAAGAGGGAGCTGTTGAAATAATAGGATTTGCATTCATAAGCCAATGCACCTATACCAAGTTATGGAGTTTTTGGGCCTTTTGGCCCATTTAATTTCCACTTATTCTCATTTGTTGAATTTTTAGAGAGCGTTTGATAGGCATTTTTATGTAAAAATTTATTTTTAAATAGTAAATTGATGTGAAATGTGTGGTTGAAAAAGAAGAAATTTTTTTTGATTTACGTGTAATATTATTTTAATAAAGAATGTGTGGTTGAAAAAAAAAGAGAAAAATGTATTTTGAAAAAAATGGCTACCAAACGGAGCCTTATTTTTTTTTTTTTTAATTTATTTATTCTAAAATTTTTAAAATCACCATGTCAACCCCACTAGACCCTTGACCCTCTCCATTTTCGGAGTCTATGTCCAAGTGAAATTTTAAAACATTTGTAGTAGGTGCATGGAGACAAGGGGACGTGAGGACACTGGGCAGGGTCAACCCCCAAATAAATGATAGTTCTCAGCCTCCACCTCAAGTAAATATTGATACGCAGACAACCAACTTTTTTAGCAGGCATTGAAAGAAAAACCAAGATTGCAGTTTAATATGGAGGAAATCAATCAACTGAAAATTAAACATCATCCTGTAAATTGTCTAAAGATAGATATCAATTGTCAGAAGCAGCAGATTACATTGTGAATTAAAAATCACAAAAGAAGAGACGTGATGAGCAAACGCTAAGCCATAGTCCTAAGTTTCCTTGGGAGGGGCCTTCTTGGCAGCCTCTGCAGCTGCTTTCTCCGCTTCAATTTCAGCAACAATGGCATCAATTTCAGCTTCTTCAAGCTGGTGAAGTCCATGATCTTTGGTCATTACAGCAACTTCTAGGTTCTTTCCACCACTCTCAACAACCTTCGTGCAAAATAAGATTAGATGTCAGCGTCATTATTTTTCCATTTTCCTTTTGTTTCCTTCTTTCTCCTTCACCATTTTTTTTAGTGCGCCTTTCTTTTTCTTTTTTCTTTTTTCAGGCGGAGGGTGGGGAGGTTGATTGTATAACAGATTCCACTAATAATGTTAAAGGTGAGGAAAGTTATACGAAGACAGTCACACCAAGTTTCTGCTCAGTCATCAGTCAGTATAGAAGCCAACAATATATACCTACATTTATTATAACATTCTCCAATCAGATATTCAAATTTGTTAATGAGGCTATTGAGATTTATCATGAAATTTCCACCCAAAAAGATGTGGGGTTCCTAATTCTTTCCATTAAACCATTAACACACGAGAGACCACAAAATGTAGAAAAGGGAACTGTTCTAAGATACTTATCTCCCGTTTGATTCCCATTCTTGTAAAAATAAGAATGAAAAGTATAGTCATTACAGGACCCACACAAGAGAGAGAAAGTCAAATACATTGGTTTGATGTGATGGATAATGATCATATTTTTTATTTTTATAGCAAAGAATGGGAAACAAACGGGGCTTTAATATACAAACCAAAGATTTTCCACCATCTATGTCTCATGACCTCGAACAACTAACCCATATCACAATTCAGTTCACAGAAGATATAATGAAAACAACAGGATGTTTCTGGGTATCAGCAACTAGCAATGCCGATAGCTCACCCAATGCTACCATCAACAGTTAGCTCTAAACACTAATTTAATCAAAGCTATCATAAATTCAGCTCCACAAGTCCGCAGATATTTACTCTCTTATTTAACAGTTAGCTCCATCATTACTCGTATACCTGCACTACTTTAAGGCATGAACTCAACGTGGAAATCACTAGCAAGTTTCGCATTATTTACTCTCTTTTAAGTGAATTATGATGTATAGTACATCTCAAATCCTTGGATTTTTCATACCAAGGTCAAACACTACAGGCAATAAGACACGAGGTTGTAATGGTACCTCCAATGCTTTATGAGCTAATAAAGTTATGCCCGTTCACAAGTCAAAGGCATAGCAAGTAGAGAAACAGAAATGCTAGTTGGAATTTATGAAGATATCTACTTCAGGTTCCAATTTTTAATTCAATTGGACCTATATCCGTAACATTACCCAAACAGCTCACAGACCTCTGTGACAGCACACACTGTCATGGATATTGCATTATCTCTGCAACCAGCTGTGACATGTAGCTAGTCATTACAACCCCAAGGTTCCTAATTGCTATTTCCTATACCATTATTCTACAAGGTAGATCATTCATCTTAATTAAATTTATAATTCACTGCAGGCGGGAAACTATTGGCTAAACTCCACCATCAAATTGTTCAGTGCATATAAGAAAGAGGCAAAGATTCAAAATATTGACAGTTCCGTGAGTTTTTCAGAGTAAAAGTTGAAGACAAACTAATGCGCACAAATTCAGAACACCATTGAAGTACCTGGACATCTAGTTCATTTGCAGCATTTAACAGAGATAAAACATCATACATCATGAAAATCAAAAAATTTACATGAACGTGAAAGTATTTTTCTATTTTTGTTTGATTACATAATATAGGCTCAACAAGACGCTAAAAGAGGAACTATGGATGCAGGAGCCAATTAAAACAGCAATTACATGACTTTGACCATTTTGTACAGGACTACCACCAAAATGATATTACCTGATTTAAGATGCTAGTACAAGTCCATTTAGTGTACATTTTCTTAGATTAATGCGCAGTTTATAGTCTCAGGGTTAAGATGTACATGAGAACAAAAGCAGTATGGTTATCTTATTAATGTACTTCAACCAATTCTCAACATCAACAAAAAAATTTCCAATAACATAAATGATTGAAAAGATAACTCAATATTTTAACCACTTACAAGTTTATGGTGTTCTTGTAAAAAGATGCAAGAATTACCAAATATTAAAGAAGTAGACTGCATCTTGAATTTTCGATAAATAATAGGTGAAAAACCAGATCATATGGTTGAATGATAACAAAAATAAATAGCCAAATTTGTGATATTTAAGCAAGAAGAGAACATGTCATATGCACAAGCCTAAAATTTAATAGCAATACATTAGACCAAGTACAAGTTAAAAGCAATGAGTTTTGTCCACATGGATGACTTACTTCAAGTAAAGCCCGCATGGCTAGTTTGACAGTCTCCTGGCCAGATGTTTCTTTGTAATTCTTCTCCAGAAACTCCCGGATCGAGTTTGAGTTTCTCCCTGTTGCATTGGCTTTCCATGCTGAAAAAGTCCCTGAGGGATCTGTCTGGTAAAGAGATGGGACACTAGTGTAGGGGTCAAAACCGATGATCAAGGTTGAAAGCCCAAAAGGTCTCACACCACCGCTTTGTGTATACTTCTGCTGAAGTCCAGCAATGTAGCGAGTTATGTATTCAACAGTCACAGGATCCTCAACTGTAAGCTTATGACTCTGGCACTCAATGCGTGCCCTATTAATTAGAACTCGTGCATCTGCTTTAAGTCCAGCACAAGCCAATGCAATGTGATTATCTAAATTGACAACCTTTCTAACCGATCTGAAAGCAAGAACATAAAAGTGATAATAAGCACAAAAGCATCAAATTTGGAGTCCAATTGGGAAGGTAACAATAATAGACATATTGCATGCTTGTTGAAAGCTAAGAGCATATCCAATGCATTCTATGAATTGCAATCTAGGTGGCAACTAAATTGAAATGCTTTCGATCAACGTGACATTAATGTCTAACGAATAGATGACCTAGTTTAAATTTCATCTCCAATGGGTTCAATCTATAATTCAAATTTTTGCCTTTAATGTATTTTCAATACGGGGGTACAAAAAAATATAAAGAAGAGAGAAAGAGTGAGGGAAAATAGAGAAATGCGACTCACTGTGTCTAAAAGAGCCTCTACATCTAGAGAATCATGTTGAAAATGCATACATTTTTCTTACCACGTTAGCTAGACATAGTCCTATACATATTTCACTGGAGATGAATTCTTTTATACATTGTTTGTTTTAAGTTATGTAGCAACTTTTTTAGAGCAATTCACATTAGCATAGGAGATGCTCCAAGATAATACAGAATAAGATCCTAACCAACAATTGTAACTTAGAACAAAAAATGAAGTTGGAGTACATGTATATTGAACCTTACATTAAAGACTTAGTTTCGTTTCAACCAACAAACTAGAACCATACGACGTTAACGTTTCACAAATTCCGTTCCCACGAGAATAAATTAAGCCAGCCTTCGAATTCCCACTAAAATTTAACCTTTAGGTTAAATTATGACAACTTTCAATAGAGGATATAAAATATAAAATTATATTAAAAAGAATAAGCAAATAACTTTGGGGGAATCACCTTGTATAAATAAAAGGAAGACTCCTTTAGAATCTCTCGAGATTTAACTTACTTCATTCATTAGCTAAACATTTATTTATAGACAATCTTGTAAGACATCTTGAAATCAAGGGCCAAGATTAGATGGACTCAATGGCAATAATTACTTGCAAGTTGCAAGTCACTTCATATCTCTATGCAAGTTGGCATGTTCCTTTACAGAAATAGTATTCAAGTTAAACTTTGCTTCTTCCTTTAAGCAAACTATACACAAGTTAAATTTTACTTCTATCTCTATACAAGTTGCACAAATTGGCGTTCACCTACGTTCAAAACCAACGATTGTAGCCCACGGTAATTAATAATCCTTTTTTTTTTTTTTTTTTTGAAAAGTAATCAACGTGAGTTTGCAGTGCAATGACAATCACAATTGCAAATTTAATAATCCTTAAAAACAATGGTTTTTGAAATAGAAAACTTTTAATTTCGTGACTGCACAGTCTGCCTGTGTTTTCCCCTACCTGCGTCCCTTGTCACAAGCAGTTCCATTTTTTGAAGCATCCTATCTACACTATTTTGCAATCACTGCCAGGACAAATCGATCGCAACCTAAGAGGATGTAAGTCAATGAACTTTGCCCCGTACATCCACTCTTCTGTAGGTTGTATGAAAACTGGGCAACGTCCAACAATTTTGCCCTAGACTTATACTTTGCCTATTGCCGTTAACTCAGGCCGAAGTCCCGAAGCCTAAAAAATGGCCAAGTCATAGGGAGATCATTCAGACTTAGCTCAATCTTGGATGGAGAAAGCCCCAAAGCGAATGAAGAAATGGGGGCAAACGTGAAATGGCGACCTTTGGAATTTAATATCGGTGATAAAGTTCTTGTAAAAGCGGTGCCGCAACAATTCAAGCTTTTCGAAAAGTTCACAATGGCTTGGTTCGAATATATGAGGGACCATTTCCAGTAGTGGCTAAAGTTGGAAGAGTATCTTACCTGCTTGATCTCCCAAGCACTCTAAAGATTCATCCAATCGTTCATGTAAGTATGTTAAAGCCATATAAGCCAAACATGGATGATGTGGGCAGAAATGAGTCAAAATGGGCACCTCACATTGTTATAAAATCTTTTAAGAAAGATGTTGAAACCATTTTGGTAGATAGGGAGGTTAGATGAAGGGTTTTCCCGTTACACCTTATACTTAATCGAGTGGAAAGGGTTACCCAAGTCTAAAGCTACTTGGGACAATGGAGACTTGTTGTGGTTTAAAGTCCCTGCTCTAGCACTACACCACGACGAGGGCATCATCAGATTTAGTGGAGAAGTAACTTATGTCCTCCCAGGTCGCAACCCATCCGTCCAGTGACGACCACAAAACAGCTAAGATAGGGAGCTTCAATGGAACTGAACTACCTACGGCAAGGGACTAAGGTAGGGAAAATGCAAGCAGACTGTGCAGGCATAGAAAACAGATTTTTCTAAATAAAAAACCAATGGTTTGAAGAATTAAATACCGTGGACTATAAGCATTGGTTTTGAATGCAAATAAGCACTAATTTGTACAACTTTCATGAAGATAAAAAGCAAAATTCAACTTGGCTACAATTTGCTTAAAGGAATAAGCAAAGCTCAATTTGTATATATAAGGATATGCCAACTTACATAAAGTTGTAAAATGACTTGCAACTAATTGTGGTCATTGGATCCATTTAATTTTGGTACTTGATTTCAAGTGTCTTGCAAGATTTTGCCTATAAATAGATATATAGCTCATTTGTAAATATCAAGGAGTGAAATGAGTTAAATATTGAGAGATTGTAAATAAGTCAAGGAGATTCTCCCAAACTTATTTGTTTTGTTTCCTTTCAATAAAATTTCTTACTTTATATCATCTACTCAAAGTTGCCATAATTTATGCATAAAGGTTAAATTTACGTGAGTGTTCGAAGGCTAACTCAACGTATTCTCGTGGAGACGAAATTTGTGAAACATTAAGGCACAGTTCCAGTTTGTCGGTTGAAAGAAAACTAAGTCAGTGACACTTGGCTACTAAAGCCATACCTAATGTTTCAAAGAAATTAACAAATGATTCTCATGTACAACTACATCCTAAAATTTGTACACGCAAGACTGCACTCAAACCACTCCTATCTCCAATTCTCCTTCACTAGTTTCTTGAGATTCACTTTGAGTGCCAAGTAACCTACCTTACTGTTTTCCTTAAACTTACCATTTTACTAATTGCATAATTTAAAAATAAAACAATAACAACTGATTTTAATTTCTCAAACAATAGAACTAAATAGTAGTAATAACACCATAAATAAAAATAATAATAAAATAAAGTAATTTATCACTACACTATAGGAGTAATTAATCCGTTCAGCAATCCTACAACCACAAATTAACTCATCTTTTCAAAATCTCACTCAATTAACTAGATATCAAATACAGAGTTAAATACAAAAAATAAATAAATAATAAAAATCAATTCCAAAATTAAAGACCCAAAACCCTAGATAATCCTTTCATTTACCCCACGGAACCGAATAAATCACCGACCACCCAAAATCACTAATGACATGTATTCCAACGATCTACAAAAGCACGCGCACATTTCAAAGCATAAATAACTTCAGATGCACAATTCTGACCTGGAGTCCTGGAGCTTGGGAGTGGATTTCTTCTCGACGGCAAGGACGATGGTATCGGTGCCTCGAACACCGACGGCGGCGTTTCCCTTTCGGACGGCCTCGAGGGCGTACTCCACCTGAAACAAATGGCCGTCCGGTGAGAACACCGTAATTGCTCTGTCGTACCGCGCCATCTATAACCCTTTTTTTGTATCAAAGGATCGAAATGGAGTTTATTGTATATATGTGGGTCTATTGTTCTGATCTATCACCTTCTTGGCTTTTGTCTGGGAAAAATTTGATTGATTTATGCGAATGCGAGGGCCGAATGGAGAAATAAAGGAAAAAAAAGACAACTTGGGCCACAAGAAAGGGAGCATGTTTGGCTAAGCTTAAAAAAGAAAAGTTTCAAGATGGGCGTATTCATTTAGCTATTGTTTGAGCCACGTTCTTTAAGAAAAAAAAAATTTCAACAGTATTTTGATATCATTTTAATCATACATTTTTCAATAAAATAATATTGCACGTAAATTAAAAAAAATCTTCTTTTTAAACCATACATTTTTCATCGATACACTATTCAAAAATTTATTTTTCCCTCAAAATGGAGATCAAACAAAGGCTTAGGACTTTTAAAGGCTTTTGAATATTCAAAAAGTTTAGACAAAAACCCTTCAAAAGTTTAGGCGTATTCAATTAAGACGATTGTAGGCTTTTGAAAAGTCAATAAAAATCATGAGATATTTAATTGAATTTTTTAAGAATCTCTATAAGTCATGAAGTATTCAAATAGACAGTGATTTTTGGAGAATTCTCTACTTGCTGGACTTTTTAAGGCTTTTTGGTGAAAAATATAAGCATATGTTTGATAACAAGCATGAAATTTACTTGGAAAGAAAATAAATTTTAGACAATTCAATTGCTTAGAAATTATTTCCATGGAAGTTGTCAATTAAGGGCCTGTTTGGTACACATTAATGTAAAAATGAGAATGAAAAATACAGCCGTTACGGATCCCACACAAGAAATAGAAAGTCAAATCTGGTGGCTTAATGTAATGGATAACGGTCATATTTTTCATTTTAATGGGCAAATAATGAGAACCAAATGAGGGCTAAATATGTTTGATTGATTTTATTTTCAATTTAGAAAATGTTATACTTGTTCATTTTTTATTAGTAAGTTGATGAGAGAGGAAGGGAGGGAGTTGATGAGAGAGAGAGATAGAATGAATTACTTGTAAAACAAAAATCTACACTCCCTATAGAAATTATCAATAAGGCTACTTAGCCAGGTCTAAAAACAGGGTGAAAAACAGGCATTTAAATCTGTTGAGCTGGCACTTAAAATGCAATAAAAAAACAATATTAAACAAAAAGGGCAAAAGCAAGCTAAAACCAAACGGAGATACAAAACCAACTGCTACAAGGAAAAAGTCAATTCGGCCGCTTCTCTCTCTAGAACCCCCGTTTCCAAACCCTTCCTCCCGCCGCTGTGGACAATCAGTTGTAATATTAAGCAAGATTTTAGTGCTAGTGGGACATTCTTACTTGGTTTGCTGCACTTATTGTTATTGCTGAGTATCTTCTGGTTTTGAAAAAACTCTTGTTAAAGGTTGGTTTTATTTTATTTCTCTGAACAAAGTGCACCAACTGGATAAGCAAAACATGATTAATTTTCGAAAATAAATTATACTAAAGCACTACTTAAGCACAGCATACACTACCTAATTATAGCAAACAAACGAAGGCATCTTATGAACGAACAAAGCCTCGGTGGAAGCCAAAACTGATGAAGTGTAACTCAGTCATTTTACCAATTCAAGACAATACACAAATTGCGAATACCTAATGAATAAGTAATCACTAATAATTTACATGATGAATTACATAAAATCACAACTAAAACACTACCTAAGCACAGCGTATCCAACAACCAAGCCTCTCGATACCCAATTCAGTTTGGTTACTCAGTGTCAACACTCGGGATAATTTTCAATGGTTTGGCAAAAGAATAGACTATGCAAATGATGCTTTCCCATTGTAATTTGCTCCTACAATGTTGAGGATGGCCGTAACCATGTTGTAGATCTGCACATTCTCGAAAGATGGGACATTTCTCCCCCAAGCAAATTCAAGTCCATGAGCAATAAAAATGGTCCTCATGGAGAAAATTGCATTGTCATATCCATGTGATCCTCCACATTCTTGCCTTTTAGATGTCTTCTGTTCTACCTTAAGCCTATAATTGGTGGAATTCAATCACTATTTGAATAATGCATTCTATTACGAAGCTCCTCCTTCTGATAAACTCTCAAACCCTCATTTATGTACTTTTTCTAACTCCAAACCCTTATTTATCTTGGCCACAATATCCTTCGGTTTAGAATCGGATGGTGGACGAATCGCAAGCACTGGACTGTATGATTGCACCTACTCTTTCGGAATCTCAATCCATTGAGCCAAATCATCAGAAAGACTAGCTTTTTATCTCACGTACCTACCATCCTGAGAAGACATTGACGGAGTCACTTGGTCAGACTGTTTGACCACGATCCGAGATTATGGAAGGAAGAACAGGAAAAAAACCGGTCGATTTTTGGGTTTTCAAATGTGGGAGACACACAAGTTCTTTTTTTTAACCATTTCTCCCACTTCTTGGACGGTGACTAGCGGTCTACTCGTCGACGAAGGGTGCTTCGATCGGTGAAGGCGCGGCGGCAGGAGGGAGTGTTTGGAAATGCGGCTGAATTGATTTTTTTCCCCTTGCAACAGTCGGTTTTGTATATCTGTTTGGTTTTAGCTTGCTTTTGCCCTTTTTGTTTGATATTGTTTTTTTTTTATTGTAATTGAAGTGCCACCTCAGCCAATTGAAATGCCTGTTTTCCACCCTGTTTTAAGACCTGACTGAGTAGCCTTATTGAGAAATTATTTTACTTGTTTTTCAAGAAAAATCAACCGTGCATAATTTTCAAGTGAAGCACACATTTCCAGATGCATTGTTGGACAGAAAGTAGAAGAATTAAAAATGACGCAAGCATAGCCATTTGAGCGAGTACACGTAAATATATATGATTGTCGTACCAAAACTTTTTTCAAAGTTTTGAACAATTATATAATGGTCATTAAAATTATTTTCGTTCGGTAATAGTCATTCAAATTTCTAACTGATACACTAATGATCACTCTGTAACGGGCAATAACATTATGCTCTTGTTTGGTTTCCATTAAATTAAATTTCATTTTTCTTTCTCCTATTTTCAATCACACAATCTTCTATAAAATAATATGATACGTAAATCAAAAAAATTTCTTTCTCTTTCAGCTACTCATTCTCCAAAAAAATACCATCCCACCTATTTCGTGCGGGTAGTCGCTAACAATTAAAAAGGAACCAGACGATTGTGTAAGGAACAGACCTCTTGAGAGAAAGTCCCAAAAATGGATGTTTTATTGGCGATGATTTACAATTGGAACTAAACAGAATGCCTCCAAGGGGCGCAAGCACACGAGTACTAAAAGAAATGTTTAAGTTTAAACTAAGAAATTGAAATTACATAATCTCTGTTTGAGAGTATTTAATTCGGGTTCTTTTCTCTATGTCTTCTCTTCCTTTTATATTCCTTTGATGATTTCTTCGTGACAAACCGCTTGGAAACTACTTGATTGCTGTATAACTACCCACTTTCTTTATGGTGGCTAGTTTGTCATGGAACTGCCGTCCCTAACTGTTGCCATTACTCTTTGTCGTTCAACCGCCTTCAACTAAGCTCCTTGAATCGTGGAATGTGATAAGATCACTCAATAACTGCTACTCTGAATAACCATAATGTTTGTGCTTGCTGAGATCCTAGGCGATTCGAAGGTTTGAGCGAGAACGGGCTCATCGCTCTGGGCTACCGTAGGGTATTCTATTCGTTTAGATTCTGGGCGTCTTGCAAGCTTAGGCGATGATGTTACCGTGTTCGTGGGCTTCCACCTCATTCATCAATAATCCTGTTCGGACCTTTATCATGGGTTCTCCAATTGGACTTCACTCTTTGAGCTATTTGATTTGGGCTGCACTTTTAGTGTATCAACAATTACCCCCAATATGGCAGAATTAATACTAATTATTAATCTTTGTCATATTCACTTTGTATTTTCCAGCAATATTTGAAATTTTCAAGAATTTCAATCATTATTTCCTTCTATAATCTGAAAAGGTGCAACGTTACAAACCCTTATAAACCAGAAGGACACGCCATTTCATCGCACCACTAAACCACGTCACTATTTTTCGTGCTTCTTCCTCGTTATTTTCACTGTTCGTCTTCTTGCTTCTCTGCTACGTTTCTCAGGCAAACCTTATCAAAATCGTACTTTGTTTCCAATGGCGACTTCACAAACTCAATCTGATGATTCTTTTAGTTTTGAAGATTTCCAGAAAATCCTTACTAGGCCATATGTAAATCCAAACTTCCTTGCACAAGCTAGTGCTGACCTCAACGAATTCTATTTGGGTCCATCGTTCAATAATGCTGAAGCCGTCGGACAAGTGGCGGTGAGCCAGTTGTTCCCTTGCACTCAAGGTCTTCCGTTCCTGAACTCTCTGCCATTGAGGCCGATTTGCGAAAAAGGTATTCGCACTTAGCTCAAAGTTGATGCTATTTTTCGTAGATGGCATGCACGTCTTGTGAGTCATGGCCCCACCAAGGCGATTTTTGATCGTGCTAGGATTTCAGATTTATTAGAAATTTCTTTTCAACCCCCGATTTTTGACCCAGTGCTTTTTCCTATTGCTCTGAGTTTTTGGTCTTCTGAGTATAACACCTTCGTTTTCTCTCTTGGTCCCATGTCTATTACTTTAAGGGATGTTGGAGCCCTAGTAAATCTCCCGCCTTTGGGCGATACCATCTTTCCTGGTATCTTGATTTCCAGTGTTGCCCCGAAATTTGACAAGAAACTTACTGAATCCTATTCAAGCCTGCAAGGCTTTTATAATCACTCAACCGCTGAACCTTCCCATGCTGAGCGTGTGGCTTTTCTTCAGATTTGGCTCTGTAAATATATTCTTTGCGTGCCAAGTATGAAACCTTCTATGAGCTATTTACCCATAGCGTATGAATTGGCACGTGGTAGGCCTTTGAACCTATGTTCCTTCTTTTGAGCCGCCCTTTATAGAGGCATGGCTTCCCTTCAGTTTCAACTGAAGAATGGTGCATCTCCCACTGGTAGTGGCCCCCTTTGGTTCACTCAACTGTTGTTGAGAGCATATTTTCCACCACTTGGTGCTCCATCCATTTCCAGTCGTTCTGCTAGCTGCTATGGGCTAGCCATTGATCCACTAACCCCTGTAAATATAT